AGCCTAAAGAGACTGCGAATTGTTTACAGTCGAAACTCTTAGCAAAACAGTGAATTAAGTCATTTGTGCACCAACATCAGTGTTTTTTTGCCCAGTGTGATTAAAACGTCAATGCTGTGCACTGAAAATTTATTCTTCCTGCCCGCTGGCCGAATTGCTTGTTTTGATGAAGAAACTCTAATTTTAATTGAAAAAAAAAAATTTTTTTTTAACTTTCTTTAACTGTATTTGGTGTTTTAGGTTTCTCTTCATTGTACAATTTTTTAATAAAGATATTTTGAGTTTTTATGCATTTTTGCTTTGCATCGAAGGGAGAACTGAGTTTACGAAATAAGAAATATATCTCTAACAAAATTCGAGGAAATAATCTTAAATGAAGTGCAGCGAAAATGTGTATAATTTAATAGACCATACAAGGGAGCCATGTGGTGTCCATATCGGATATTTATCACTTCTAAAAAAAAAACTTCGTGTTGAAAATAGGTTCAGATTGCTTGGAAATTTTACCTCATATGTTTCAATTTAAGCGTTCGTAAATGATGAGATAGAATATACTTACAATTAAACACATACAATTGTGCTATGTTTTTGTTTAATGCTGAGTTACTCTGGTGATGCTAATTCACTGCACAGAATATAACTAACACCTTACTGAAACGGTCGTGGCACTAGCTCTGTAGATGAAACCCACACTGGTGTGACAAACTGGTATTTGAGAAGGTTTTTTGTAGTTTGCAATCCATCTTTATTTAGAAATTATTAATATTTATCCTGAGAAAACTGCCGGTTGAATATCTCACTCAAGCTTCAGTGCCAAACTTACTTCGGATGGCACAATGTCCTAAATTTTAGAAACTCACGAATAAATAGGCATTTCTGATTCAGTTTTCAAGTTATTTATCCGCTGCTCTAATATATAAGTTGATATGTTTTAAACCAAAGTCTTGTCTCCAGCTAAGAAAAAAAATGAGATAAAGAGAAGAAACCAAAGACCTATATTATTTTAAATCTCAAATTATATGACGAAAATAACGGAATTAAATTCAATAATCAAGTACATGATCGCATCCACGATAGCCATACGACATCATGTGCTGTCACACAGTAGTAAGGGCGCACCAGTGGCGAAGCCGTAAAGTCACTAAATACTAGTAGTTTGCCTGGAGTTTCAAATCCCGGCGAAGGGGTTGGCTGCAGGAGTGTTTTTCAGGTAAGCGTGCAAGGCAACAATTGAAGAACGACATTAAAAAAAAAAAAACTAAAATGCGAAGCTTAAGGTTTTTTTTTCCTTCTTCCCATTTTAAAATATTTATAAGGTATTTCCTCCCTTCTTTCCGCATGCCTTCGAGGTGTAACTGGAAGCACACTCGACGCGTATTCGAGAGGGCCATGGTTCGAGTCCTGGCGAGGGCACTGCACATTTTTCCGTGTCTACTGCATCAAAATAACCTAATGACATTACAAATAAACGGCGCCCGAATTAAAAGGTTGGTGGACCGTAATTCGTCACCTCAGGTGCTGACAATTGGGGTTCCTTAACCCTTTGACGCGCGCGATATTATTTTTATAATTTTTTTAACTAAAAACTCTAGAAATTGAATATTATGATCCTAGAGACAAATAATATATGAATTAAAAAAAATCTACTCTTGCCCATTGTTCTGTGGGTGGTGGTCGCACTGTGAAACCACAGCGCGTTTAGGCCTTTGAAACTTACTGACGTAGTAGAAAAAAGAACTTACCATTTTCCGCGCGCGTTTCCAATAAATGACGAAATTTACGGATTAAAAAAATGTATGTAAGAATTGCATTATATATAATTTTTTTACATTATTTTACAAAGAAAATCGTCAGAAAAAATTAAAAAATAAACATTTATGCAATTTTTCTATAGCTGTGAAAATATAAGTACCCACATAATAAGGACATTTGGATAAATGGATTAAAACTTAATAAAATAAGAATAAAAAAGAACTCAGTGCTTTTTTTTTTTTTATTTCAAAGAACAAATTTTTTTGACACTGTTCAAAGCATGTTTTGTCTTTTTTGCACATGCATAGACCCACACTGCACGTTTCGCACATACATCTTGTTCTATGAGGTTGCTTCCTGGTGCTACAAAATGTACACTGCCTGGATTTAAATTTCACTGGTATATGTCCAGCGTTATTTAGTTTCTTTTCATCTGGCACATTCAATTTGTGGTTTTTTATGTTAATGGGGGGTACTTGGTCCTTTTGGCTTTGTACGGATCGTTCGTTTTCAATTCATACTTATTTTATTCGTATTTCGTCCCAAAATATTCAGAAAATATTTTTAATTTAAATAAAACTTTTACGCAATTTCTATTTTTAATTATAACAAAGTATATTTACATTAAATTTAAACCACAGGAAATAATTTATAAAATCACAATACTAGCTTGGGGAGCATATGTGTTGATGTCAGAGAAAGGTATTTAGACCTTTTTACTGGGCAGGTGCATGTATTGTTTAGTAATAAGATAACTCTGTGGTTTCAAAGCCCTTTATCTATATCCGGGTAAAAATAAACATTCCTATTTGAAAAGCAAGCGAACGCCATTGAGAAGCAAACGCCAGTGGTTTCAGGGCGCGACCACCGAGCCTCTAGAGGATTGTAAGCACTGTGACACAATGCTCTAGTGGCGCAGTGGTCGCGCCCTGAAACCACATAGCAAATGCCATACATATAGAGGTTTTTTTTATATATGCAGTTTAATTACTGCAATTTTTTATTGCTTATGATAGAAATCATGATGTGCGATGACTAACTTTTGAAATTTAAAGTTGTTTATATTAATAAAAGGAAGTTATTTTGTCTCATCGAAAACGAATTTTAAAAGGCATCCGATCTGAAGTATTAATACCTAAAACATATATGATTCTACAGTCATTTTGTGTTATTTAGATGTAAAAGATCAGTAATCAATTCATTTTCATAAATTTCCGAAAAAAGAGGAGGAAAAAAATTCGGAAAATGGTGGTTTCAGGGCGCGACCACCGCGCGTCAAAGGGTTAAAAGGGGCGGTATGTAAAGTTTTTCTCCCTATTTTCCGCATGCCTTCGTGGTATAATTGGAAGCATACTCAACGCGTATTCGAGAAACATAGGGTTCGAGTCCCGGAGAGGATATTACATATTTTTTCACGTCTCCCTGCTTTAAAAAAGAAAAACCTAATGATTCTACAGGTTCTATTCCTAGAATTTAAAAATTCTATTTAATTTTTTTGTAGCAGTATTTGTGGGCCGTAAAAGTGGAGTCTGGAGACAAATGTCCCGATTGTCCTTATGCAAGTCAGTCTCTGAGAATAACTGAATATTGCAAAAGGCTGCCTGAAATTCTTCACACAGCTTGCAGATCAGAGCTTCTAGGCTTCTAATCTCAATAAAAGAAATTCGCTAATTTTTTTAATTCTCGTGAGCAAGCCAAGTCTCAATAATGAATTCTAAAATTAAAAAAAGAAGAAGAAGAAGAAGAATTAAATCTTCAGCAACATTAAAATGCAGTCACAGACGATCGTTTTCATTCTTTTTAGAAATTACGTCTCTTAAACAGAAAGTATTAATTAAGTTATCCCCAAAATATGTACAGTTTTAGAGCCATTAGGATTTTGGGGAAGCAAGAGAGATTGAAAAATGAGCAACGCCTTCACCAGAAATCGAACCACGGACCTCTGGAATACGCTCCCAGCGTGCAGACCACTACACTACGAAGGCATGCTAACAAGGCGGGAGTTCCAGTTACCCGTAAAATTCCCAATGAAATTAATATCAGTTTTATAATAATTGTTATTTACCTGCATCGCTTATTAGAGTTTATGATTTAACATCACTATAATAAAGTGATAGTATTGTACGCTTAGTTGATTATTTGTCATGTTCTGGAAAACATCGCTACTAAACTAAATTTCGAAAAGAAAGCTTAAACATAAAAACATTAATGTTAATATGAATATCATATTTTATAAACGACAGGTTTCAGTACACAAAGCAGATTTTCGTGAGAGTTCTAAGTATGAAAATTGAACGCTTTAAAGTTATAACCATGTTAAATTACCCCTTAATAGAAATTACCTCTTAATGTTCGTAGAATACGAACATGTTAAATTAACGAAATTACGAACGAATTACGAACATGTTAAATTAATAAATTACGAAATAACGAAATTACGAACATGTTAAATTACCTCTTAATGTTCGTAGAATGCGAACATAAAATTGGTTTGATTTTTAAAGATCGAAAATATTGCATTTGAAATAATTTTTACTAAAATAATTGCATATATAATCATGTGCACTTTATTAAAATGGTTCTGAAAGCGGGCGATTATTTAGGAGAATTAATAACTTTGGACTGAGTTACAATGAATTAAATATATTTAAAAATTGAAACTTATGTACATTACGACCACACCACTGTGTGTAAAACATCTTACGAAAGTCTAATTTTTAATTAAATTTTTAGATTAAATTAAATATCTAAGTAATTAAAATAAATTAAATGTACTTAAAAATTAAAACTTCTGTATTTTATAGTCACTTACATAAATAGAACTGTAATACCTTTGGGTGTAAAAAAATCTTACAAAAAATAATAATTAAATTTTATTTAATTTTAATTAAATTTTTAGAGCAATGATTAATTATTTAAACTTTTAAATCTTATTTTGACAATAATGCTAATTTTTGCCTTTGTTTTTTGAGACTTTAGTTTAAAAGAAAATTAATAACGTATTTCCAACTAAACAGTGCACAGACTTTTCGGTTTGAATCAAAAATAAAACTTCTTCATACAAACAAAAACAAAGCTTGAACAACTAATGAAAACAACGACAGAGAAACAAAGGTAAAACAACTAATGGGAAAATAGAAAAATTGAATTCACGAGTTTTGTAAACTAAAAATTGAGTAAGAAATATTAATTGTAATTGCATTAAAAATACTATCGATAATCCTTTTAAATGTTCAATTTCATTTCAGGTGATAAAGATGCAACCATGGTTGAAAAAGTTATATTTCTTTCTCCTCCCAATCTGGTTGCTGCTAGCCGTAATGTTCCAAGTATCTAATGGAGGCATGGGCGGTGGTGGCGGCGGAGGTGGACTCATGGGAGGAGGAGGAGGTAGCAAGCACGGAGGCGGAGGTGGTGGACTGGGTTCCATGTTAGTGGCAGGTCTCATAGCAAAGATACTAGGGGAACACGAACATCATCACGAATGTGAACACGGTCATCATCATGGCCACCATCACATGATGCAAATGATGCACATGATGCACGGTTGATAACTCATCTCGAGTATGAACACGGCCAACATCACATGATGCATATGGTGCACATGACGCACAGCTGATAACTTCTACCTAGCCAGAAATGTATATATACCTCATCATCATCTGTTCATCAAATTATTTTTGTACCATAACTTTTTTTACATAATAAATCGCTTTATTTTCGTAATTCTGTCTTTTTTAATGCATTAAAATTCATATTTCTTCACACACACTAAAAAAATTAGTAATAATTCATTTAGCCTCAATGAACAAATTAGTAATGTAATAAATATTAATCTTTGTTGTTCAAGCGTGTCATAAGAATATATGTTAGTCATTAAAATAGTTATATAAGTTTAATTACACAATCTAATGTACCACTGGATAAGGAGGAAAGAAATGAACTGGTTTTTTCAGATTTCTGCTGTGTAGAATTAGGCATCATTCAAACTAATAATTTGAAGTTGTATGTAAACTTAAATGTAAACAAATGATAACATGGAGTTTGAAATAGCTAATGGTGAAATTTTGTTCTCTCCCTGCCGATAAAGAAACCTTGTGGAAGGTAAAAACCTTTTGCTGAAGCATCGAACTAACCAGCACTTATACACTGGTGTGCAAAAATTAAAGACGAAGTCGAAAAATTAGCATATCAGCTGAACGAAGAGGCAGAGCGGACAGAAAGACCAATCAAGAGATTACGTAAGGTGATGTACGGTAGCACATGCGCAGATATGCAGGTAGACGTAATGGGGGAGTGTCTGAGTAGTATAAAGCATGTTGTCGGTGTAAGATCAGTATTTCTGGCAAAGAGATTGCACGCCGTATAGCAGTTAAAATCACACCCGAGTTGCTGCCTTAGCGAGAAATGGCGAATAATCAATCTGTTAGACGACATCTGGATGCTTTTACCCGAGTTCGAATCATTGGGAAGTTGGAGGAAGGCCGCAATGTGACAAGTGTGGCTGCAGAGTTCGGAATTGCTCACAGCATCGTTTCACGACTTTGGAGACAATTTCAAACTACAGGAACAGCTATCCGGGAGTTTAGTAGTGGTCGTCCACGAGGAACCACACCCGCAGATGACCGGTATATTGCCTTACAGGCCAGAAGAAACAGGCGGCAGACAGCGGGAGAAATCTCTAGACACACGACACAGGCGAATGGACGACCGATATCGCGTTTTACCGTGGCCAGAAGACTGCACGGTGGTGGTCTGTTTGCACGACGCCCTGTACGGTGTGTACCTCTAACGCCTGCCCATCGGAGAAGGCGTTCTCTGTGGTGCCGGGAACACCGGAATTGGAGAGACAATGAATGGGGACGAGTACTCTTTACAGATGAGAGCAGATTCAGTCTGAGTAGCGATTCTCATCGCATACTCATCTGGAGAGAGCGGGGAAGCCGCAATCATCCCTCGAACATCATTGAAAGGGACAGGTATGGAGGTGGCGGTGTTCTCGTTTGGGGAGGCATCATGCTTGGTAATCGTACAGACCTTCACATCTTCGACGCAGGTTCAGTCAACGGGACCCGTTATTGTAACGAGATTCTTCTTCCATATGTGCGTCTTTTCAGAGGCGCTATGGGTCCGCAGTTCCTTTTCATGGACGACAATTCACCATGTCATCGCACAGATCTCCGGATCTGAATCCTATCGAGCATGTATGGGATATTCTAGGCAGACGCTTGGCAGCTCGTACCTTACCACCAGTAACGATTCCGGAGCTTCGATTGGCGCTGCAAGACGAATGGGCAGCAATGCCTCAACAACTCATTGACACCCTCATTCTCAGCATGGGCAGACGCTGTGAAACCTGCCTAGCAGTCAGGGGAGATCCTATCCCCTATTAAAGACCGGATGTTTTTTGCTGGACACCCATCACAGGGAGGTTTCGGCCTTCAGTCGCATTGCGCTCCATGCTACTTTTTCAATAAAGCTTCTTTTTATCCCTCTGATTTCTCTTTTAGTAAGTGTTGCTTACATTACTCATGTTATTACGTATTGGGGATCTTACGGTATTAAATGTGTTGATTTGGAAAGCTTTTGTACAAAGTTATATTGAAAAAACCGTCTCGTCCTTAATTTTTGCACACCATTGTATAAAACGCTGTTCCAAATCCATTTTAATTTTCAACAAAATTTCTCTTTTCATCAATTTAATTTCACTTTTCCGTGTCGAAATAGCAGCCATATTTTTTGTAGGATTTCGTTTTTCGTTTAGGGCACTTAACATATTATATCATGGAATTACTTAGTTAGCCTTCTCGAGTAACCATGAACACAATTTAACAGATGTGAGAAGACTTCAGTAGCAAAGAACATGGATATTTTTGTTCTCAATAATCTGATGATTTATTTTTAAGTAAAAAATCCTTGCACAGTTAAAATGCTATTTACAGAAACTGCACATTTTTACTTTTATATGAAAATTTAAACTTTTTTCAATAATATATTTTAGAAAGAAATGAGAAATTTCCGACACTTGATTACTCCTAAGTACTGTATTGATCGACACAGAGGTGGTAGACACAAGTGACAGCGGGTCCGGACTTACAAGTCTTGAATCCGCAACTGTATAACGCGAGGACTCTTTGGCGCCCCAGAAGCGCGGCGTCAGGACCTTAACAGAAACTTTTATTGACGCTGTATACTGAAATTTGTGCATTTTAAACATTTTACAGAATACAATCATTGTATACTGATACACACACTGCAGCGTTTACATAAATAGCAATAATAACAATAATTAAGCATTATCGTGGTGTATTTTATGTGCACGCTGGGAATACATTTATAATAATGTTTGCTTCACACATGCGTACGTTGTTGCACGTACATAAATATTTCACACTAATAGTTAAATATTTTACACTGATTGTACTCTTAATTACAAGCCAGTTCTACCAGATACATATATATATGTTACCGTGAAAGACCGAAATTGGAGAATGTCGACTTTCACCGGAGAATGTCAACATTCACCAAATACGTCGGTGAAAGATCGAATATTTCTTTACATTCTTGTACATTCGACCCACACCGGTGTATGTCGACAATCACAGATATGCCTCTGGTGTAGATCGAAAAGAGAGGAGTATATGTACACGCTGTCATTGCAAAAGGAAGTGTTCCACAAATAAATGCAGTTGTAAAAGCAAGGGCCTCTTGTGCAATTGAAAGTGTGTCATAATAGTTTAAGTTTTGTGCAATAAATAAGATTTCAATCACGTAATTTAGTAAGTTTATAACTTCTATTATTTTCCTTTCTCATTTTGAATGTACAGTGTGTTTTAAGTTCTTATATGCTTAAGTTCTTATTCTGAATTTCAAGTGCGTTTTTCCGCGAATGAATTACGGAGAAGGAAATATAATATTCTTATATGTTCAACATTCACCATTAGTACATGGTGAATGTCGACATTGACCGGTGTAAATCAGAAATAAGAGTATTTGTAAAATATTTCGAACATACACCAAACGACTATGTGAATGTAGATATTCACCGGTGAAAGTCGACATTCTCCAGATTGCGGTGTTTCACCATAACATATATATTTCAGAGTATTCATGTATAGTGTTCCATCATTCACACTCTAAATAGCACACTAACTTGCCCCATAAGAGCACTAGTACCATAGAACGAGGCACCCAAGAGTAAGACAGTTAGTACTGAAGATTGGGCAGGAATCAGTACTGCACTAGGTGACATAAAAAAGGCCCTGTCCCAAAGCCTGAAATTTTTCCATTATGAATTTACGTTTTCTGAGTAGAATAGTCTGCTTAGTAAAGAAGCGAATGAAGGGTGCATCATCAACCGGCAGCCGCATGTTTTACGCCTCTGTGAGAGGGCATACTGTTATGTAATGCTCTGGAGTACCAGCTTTACCATACAGAGGTTAGATAAAACAAATACCCTTTTACAGAGGTACTCTGGGAAGGGGCCGCGACCGTTACAAATCTTCTTACAAACAGAGCCTAGATAAGTCGATCAGTGTAAACTTTATGGTAATATATATGCGCTCCTTTACCTTGAGGAGCTGCATCCCATTCCTCTTGCCATTGTTTTATGCCTTGTCCCAGAACCCTCTCTTGAGATAAGATCTAGGTAGCAGAATGGGCACAGACTGTTTCTTGCTCCTTCTTTGACGAGGTTATCGACTTCTTCATTCCCCTGGTATCCAGCATGTACCTTTATCCAGGATATATGAATCGACTCTCGCTCTCTCAAAGCAAACGCGTCGTCTGTCAGGGTACAAGGATGGTAGGGATTACGGATCGCATACATAGCAGAAAGGCTGTCTGTGACGATGCGGAATGTGGGCCCATCGAATTGTTCCGTTGCATCAACCTGTTCCACCTGCCTAATTGAGAGCACTTCAGCTTGAAATACCGTGCTCCTGATCTTAAGTGCCCTTTCTATGCTTGTAAAACTTCATTGTTTCAGTTTATTGCAGCGCTTCATCCAGCACCTTCAGAGCCACCTCCTTTAACATTTCTTAGCCGCATTTGCGGATCCCTTTGCTCGTAAGTCAGTACTGATACTAGATCTCTTGGTGGAAATTTAGAGCTACTTTTGAGAGAGCTATAATCAACGACAAAAAAGATCTCTCAATTTCTGTCTCTTTTAATCACTCTTGCTCTGTGTTCCGGAGTTTTGTTCTGTATTTTTCTGAGCGTGCAGAAATACACATTCCTGGCTTGTCGTTGGTCCAAAATTTTCAGAGAATCTCTCGAATGGTGAGTTCATCTCCACTGCTGGCGGTTTTATGTGTACGTGCTTGGGAAAAAATTCCTTGAGAACTCTCAGTGTCCTATCTGGAACGTGACGGTTACCATCTAAAGGAGTGGTTGGCAACAGGCGGGTGAGCGAGCATTCCCACGCTTTGTCAGGAAAGGCTGTTCCAAGTACTTTTCCTCTTTCGGACCAACATGGAACGAAATAGAGCCAAAACTGGAAGCGACTGCAGGTCACGTTCCACTTTCCTGAGAAGTCGCGGCGATAAAATTGCTCAAAACGTGACAAAACACATAAAAATATCTTTTTCGCAGACTGACTGTGAATTAGCACTTACATTTAGAAATGTATTTGAAAATTTTAGCCAACCTATTTGTATTTTATTATGTATGGCTTCAAAATTTAGAAGTATTTTTAATTGCATGATGACTTGACAGTATAAAA